GTCCACGAGGCCCCCACGAGGCCCCCAGGACCACACCAAGACGGCCCACGAGGCCCCCAGGAGGCCCCAAAGACAACCCAAAAGAACTCGAACGTGGCCCAAGAGGCGCCCTAGACGGCCCAAGAGAGCTCCAAGACGGCCCAAAGAAGGGCCCAAGAGAGGGGCCACGAACTGCGAATTCCAGCGCTTCGCCCAACGAAGCTCTCTGGAGGACCCACGAGGCCCCCCAGCGGCCCCAAGAGGCCCCCATGAGGCATCCAAGAGGCCCCAAGGAGCCCCCAAGACGCCCAAAAGAAGCCCCAAAACGCCCCCCAAGACCTTTCGAAACCGCCTCGAAGAGGCCCGCCAGAATCCTCGCCACGAGATCCCAACGGACATCCCAGAGCGTGCCACACACTACCCTGAGCTTGACGCATTCTTGCTACTTCTCCTCGCCCCTGCTTCGGAATTCTGCCCGAGGCCTCGTGGAATGCAGTCCTGGAGGCGCAGTAGTGTATATCGGGGTCGGCGGATGTGGCGTAAGCCTATATAATCGTCATCATCATCATCATCATCATCATCATCATCATCATCATCATCATCATCATCATCACAACCATCGTCCACAGCAGCATCACCATCACCATCACCATCACCATCGCCACCACCATCATCATCAGCATCATAAAGTCATGATGATCATCATCATCATCATCATCAGCAGCAGCAGCATCATCGTAGACATCACCATTATCATCATCAGCAGCAGCACAAGCATCATCATCAGCATCATCGTCATCGTCATCGTCGTCATCATCATCATCATCATCATGATCATCATCAGCATCATCATCATCACCATCATCATCGTCAACATCATCAGCATCACCATCATCATCACCATCAACAGCATCATCATCACCATCGTCATCACCATCCATCACCAGCTTTATCCTCGTCCGTCCCTTCCTCGCCTTCCGCGCCATCATCACAACGAAGGCTGGTCCAGCCCCCCTTCTCACGCTCTTCCTCCTCCTCAGCCTGCTCATCATTATCATTAGCATCCTCATCATCATCCTCATCAGCATGGTCCTCCTCCTCATAACCACTGTCATAATCCTGATCATCATCAGCAGCAACAGCATCGTCATTATCAGCATCAGCATCATCATCAGCATCATCATTGTCACCATTGCCATCATCGTCGTCATCGCCGTCATTACCAACATCAGCATCATCATTATGATCATCCTCATTTTCACCCTCATCGTTCCCCTCCTCACCCTCCTCGCCACCATCATAAAAAAAACACCTGTCGTCCTCCCCTGCTCCTCCTCCCCCCTGTCCCCCTCCCCCCCCTTCCTCCTTATTTCCCTCCTCCTCCTCTTACTCCTCCTCCTCCTCCTCCCTCCTCCTCCTCCGTCCTCCTCCTTCGCCTCCTCCTCCTCCTCCTGCTCCTCTGCCTGCCTGCCTGCCTGCCTGTCTGCCTGCCTACCTGCCTGCCTGTCTGCCTGCCTGTCTGTTTGTCTGTCTGTCTGTCTGTCTGTCTGTTTGTGTCTCTGTCTGCCTGCCGCAGCGCGACTCGGGGCGTCCCAACGTCCGCGCGGCCGCCCCGCGCACCTACTCGCGCACCGCGGGCAGGCAGCGCGGGAGCTTACCTGACCTGCGGGGGGGGCCACGTTCCGTGTCCGACAAGGGGGGGCAAGGAGGGGGAAGTCCACCTGTCGATCCTACATCCCGAGGCTCATCATAAAGGAACGGACAAAGGGTAGAAGTCGGGCCCCGTGTTAGGTCCGTTCAGGCGTTCTTCTCGCGGGGTCTCGTAGGTCAGGTGGTGGCCCTCGCGGCTCCGCGGGTGGCCCTCTTAGCTCCAGTGGTGGCTCTCGTAGCTAAGAAGGTGGCCCTTGCAGCGCAGCTGGTGGTCCTCGTAGCTCACGTAGTTCAGGTAGTCCTCTTCGTAGTTCAGTTAAGTGGTCCGAAGGGGTCCAGGTCGTGGCCCTGGTAGCTCAGCTGGTGGCCCTCGTAGCTCAGTCAGTGGTCCTTGTACCCCTGATTGCGGCTCTCGTAGCTCAGCTTGTGGCTATCGTAGCTCAGTTTGTGGCTTCCTGCGGATGACGTAGCGGGGGGCGTTCTCCTCCGAACCGTCGGCCCTCCGAACTTTCAATGTGTGGACGCTCAGTTCCAACACCGCGCAATCGAGGTACTCCCTACCGAAGTTGCTCTCCATCGTGTCCCCAAAAGCGATCGGCATTTTGATTGTCCAGGCCTTCTGTGGGCGTTGGCGTTCGTGTCGCTGCCTCGTAGTAGAACGGCTGGCCCTGGTGGCTCAGCTGGTGGTCCGCGTAGCCCTGCATGTTGCTCCCCTGGCTCAGCGGGTGGGGGTCGCAGCTCAGCTGGTGGCCCTCGTAGCTTTGTTGCTAGCTCTGGTGGAACAGCTGGTTATCCAGCTCTGCCGGTGGCTATCGTAGCGCAGCTCGTAGCTCAGCTAGTGGCCCTCGTAGCTATGAAGGTGGCTCTGGGAGGTCTGCCTGTGGCCGTTGTAGGTCAGCCTGTGGCCCGCCAAGCATCCGCCAGGGACTCTCGTAGCCCAGTTGGCGGCCCTGGAAGCTCTTCTTGCTGCACTTGAAGTGCAAGTTGTGACCCTCGTAGATCGGCAAGTGGTCCTCGTAGCTCATCTAGAAGTCCTGGTAGCTCAGCTATCAGGCACGACATGTTGCAGACGCGATGCGTGGACTTATGCTGCCGGTTTCTCGTTGCGCACCGCCGCTGGCCATGTGCAGCATACTCTCATAGATACTGGCCTGAATTTTCGCATGAATTCGGGCCACTTCTGGATTTTCTCCCGTTGCAGCGCATGGACCCCGCGCGCTCTTACATCGCCTTGCAGTGGGAAAAAATACACACATGATCCACAGCAGGAGACCGCACCAGTTGTTGCATGATGTTCCATGGTTCGCGCCGCGGGATCCATGCGCAAATCCACACTCCGAATGGAAAGATCCATTCAGAATCCATAATGCAGGACGCAGTGCCTGACAGCCATTGGCTCTCGTAGCTCTGCCCGCGGCCCTCGCAGCTCAGCTTGGGGCCCTCCTCTGAGTTAAATTGTTTGCCCTCGTCTCTCTGCAGGTGGCCGTGGAATCTGCGTCGGTGGCCCTTTCATCCGTCCTAGCTCAGCTGGTTGCTCTCGTAGCTCGGCCTTTGGCCCAATGAACTCAGCTTTTGGCCCTCGTAGGTGAGCTGGTGGACCTGGTAGCTCAGCTAGCGGTCCGCGCAGCCATCCCTGCGGCGCTCGTAGCTCAGCAGGCGGCGCCAACAGCTGAGCCGGCGGCCCTCGCAGCTCTGGCGGTTGCCCTCGTAGCGCAGCAGTTTGCCCTTGTGGCTCCGCTGGCGATTCTCGTCGCTCGACACGCGGCCCTCGCAGCTCAGCTCGTGGCCCGGGTAGCTCATCTGGCGGCCCATTTCAGCGTTCAGCCAGTGGTCCTCGAAGCTCTGCCATGCTCGCGCCGCTCTGTTAGTGGACCTTGTTGCTTTGCACGTAGCTCTGGTACCAGCTGGTAGCTCTGGCGGCTGCCCGCGTAAATCCGCCAAGTGGTACTCTTCGTTATGCGCGCTGTCCTCGCAGATCCGCCGGCGGTCCTCCTAGTCCTGCTCGTTGCCGTCGCAGCTGCGCGGCTGGCCCACGTAGCTCTGCCGGTCGCTTTTGGGGCGCTGCCACTGGCCCTCGAGGCTCGGGCGGCAGGGCTCGTAGCGTTTCATTTGACCGATGCAGCTGCGCTGGCGGCCCTAGGAGTGCTGCCGGCGGTTTTCGCGGCCCTGCCGGTGGTCTTCGCTGCTCTGCAGGTGGCCCTCCAAGCCTTGGCGGTGGGCCGCGAAACTCTGCCGGTGACCCTGGTAGCTCTGCTGGTGGCCTTCCTAGCTGCCGCCGGTGGCCCACGCGCCCTGGCGGTCCTCGTAGTTCTGCGCGTTGCCACACTTCGAATCCTTCTGTTCGCCCGCGTACTCTCAGTGGAATCGTAGGCTGCCAGGCAGCAGCGCCCCGATTTCCAGTTGCCCTCGCAACGCCCCGGCGGCCCTCGAAGCTCCGCCGGTGGCTCTCGAAACTCCGCGGGCACGGTGGGCGGCGGGGCGGGGGTGCCGAGCGCGGCGCAGTCGATGCAACCGTTGCGCTCGTCGTAGCCGTCGCAGGCGTCGCAGTCGCCATCGTCGTGGGCGGCGCCGTGGTCCACGGGCATCCATGCGCCGATGCACTTACTTGGCCACCCCCTCGGGCCATTCGGCCTCGTCGCGCCTAGCGTCGTACTTGGCGTCGCAGCTGCCATGCTTGATGTCGCACTCGTCGTGCTTCGGCGCGCGTGCGTCTGCTCCTCGCCCCGCTGGTTGTTACCCAGCTCGCGTAGCTCACGCCTGCCGCGTTTGCCCTCTGCGATTGTTTCTGCCAGCCAGGGCCAGGGCAAGAGACGGAGCGCCGACCGGACCAGTCATCGAGGACGGCGCCAAGCACCAACAAAACTCAACAGCACACGAATCTGCCCGCAAAGGAAATACCCCCGGAAAACATTGGCGGAGGATCGGAGGGGGAGGAAGACTCGGGCCCCAAGAAAACGGCGGCGGGCACACGAGCGCATCGGAAAACCGTGAAATCACGACATCCTCAGCAAATGTTTCCGCCAGCCTCTGCGAGGCCGATCACCGAGCGGACTCGTTCTCGAGAGCGGCGCCAAGCACCATCGACGCCCAAGCACATGCGGGCGCGAGGCGCTCAAACATACAATGTGCCAAGTGCACGCGCATGTGCGCCAAATCGGCGAGAAGCACGCCGGCCACGCCGAAATGGAAAAGCTCCAAGACCCCAGCGTGACAAAACTTGCCCCTAGCTAAACCTCTTTCGATTGCACAGCCAGCGGCGTTAACCTCGGAAACACGGAAACACCCGGCCAGAGCCATCCGGAATAGCCCAGGGTACACAGCGCCTTCCGGTTTGAAACCCGGCCCCGGGGAGAACGCCCCGGAGTTGCTGGAGAGGTTTGCCAGCGCGAGAGCAGATCCCTCTTTTCCACTTGGAGCAGACAGGCTTTTGGAAACGGCCTGGGTCAGGTCGGATAGCAGAAGGCCCGTGCCCTTTCTCCGCGGGGCACCCCGCTGGCGCATAGGGGCGACTAGGAAAACCACCGACCTTCGACGGACCAGAGTTTTGAAGCGGGGCAACAGCCAGAGCCTGGACGTCTCGGGGCTCCGACACCCCAGGGGATACGCAAAGAAGCGCATGCACAAGCGAGGGCAGCAATAAAGTTATTTTAAGCGTTAGAGACGTCAGCGAGGGTTTGCAGGTGAGGTTTGAGATCAGGGAAGCCGAATAGACAGGAATCACATTGCACTGGCGGTGCCTCAGGCCCGCGGTCGCGGCGCCGAGTCACAGCGCTGCATGGGGCGTCGGCGCGCCAGCCCCTCGCGCGACCACTCCTCGTCCAGCGCGGGATCTTGGACTTGTCGCCTGGCAGCGAGAGATCGCGCCGCTCGCCCAGAGCGGCGCCCCACAGCAACACTGGCACGCCAGGCGCCGCGCGCATCGTGCCGGAACCCCCGCGGTCCGAGAACATGCCGAGGTTCACTGGCGAGCCGTGCAGACTGGCACAGAGGCGAAGGCGGGCCGCGCCCTGGCGCGCAGAGGAGGCGGCAGCACTCCCTGGCGCGGCGGCGCAGCACGGCACCCATTTGTGGAGCTGCTCGGTCAGGCGGCCCCCGTTCTCGCGCCGCCCTACGGAGCTCCGCGTCTTCCTGCGGCCCCGGCGGCGGATGTGATCAAGCCTGCGCAGGCTGGCAGCGCAGTCGCGACTCAGCCCTGACTTGCGCGGCTGGCACTGGCTGGCACTGGCGACGCGCGCCCAGCATCCTGAGCCCCAGCGCCTGCACAGCGTCGCGCCAAGCGGCGGCCACCTCGGTCTGGCTGACGGCGAAAAGCGAGGCGGCGTCAACGGCGCCCTCCCAACGCCGCGAGGCGTTCCATCTGCAGCAGCGGGCCCGAGCCCAGCTGACGCTCGAAGTCGATCCTCGCGGCCGCGTCGAACTCGCCCGTCTTCGACGCCTTGCCGACCACCTGCGCGCGCGGCGTCAGGGAATTGAACCGATGCGCGTCGGACCCGCTCGGCCGCCCAGCAGCCCGAAGACCAGGGCCCTCACGTCGCAGCCCACGTCGCCCAGCACGACTCGGCACCGCCGCGCACGGGGCGCACGCCGGGCAAGCGGGCGCCGGGCAAGCGGCGGGCGCCGGGCACGTGGGCGCCTCGGCCCGCTCGCATGGAGGGATCGCCGCGCACTGCACCGAGCACACAGGGCAGGGCGAGGAGGGGAGCAGGTCGAGCACACCGGGCACGATGGCAGCGCGGGGCAACGCGAGACGTACGAGACAAGGCCTGTCACAATGTTTTCTACAAGCTTATCCCACATACTCGAGGCTTGAGCACCCAGAAAGCGGCGGCGGGTACACACACGCATCGAAAACCCTTGAAATCACGATACTGTTCGCCATAGTGGCGTTTACGGCTGTTCAGCGCCGCCCGCGCGCAGCAGATGTGCGAGGTGCTTCCGATCAGCCCCTATGCCGCGCATCATCCTGTAGACAGTCCTACGCGCCGCTGCGCGCAGTGGCCTGGGTCTGGCAGGACCCAAAAACATCTCGTTCGCCCTCGAGGCCGCGTGCCGCTCGCCGCGTCTCCTGCGGTCCACGGCCAGCAGCTGGCGGGCTAAGGCCAGCCCCCCATGGAGGCTCACGTACGGCCGGGCGCGGAGCCAGGGGGCGAGCGCGGGAGTTGGATCCCGCATATGGCATTTATCCTCCTCCTCCTCCTCCTCCTCCTCCTCCTCCTCCTCCTCCTCCGCCTCCTCCTCCTCCTCCGCCTCCTCCTCCTCCTCCTCCTCCTCCTCCTCCTTCCCCTCCTCCTCCTTTTCTTCGTCCTCCCGCTCCTCCTCCTCCTCCTCCTCCTCCTCCTCCTCCTCCCGTCCTTCCCCTCCTCCTTCTTTTCCTTTCCTCGTCCTCCTCCCTCCTCTCTCCTCCTCCTCCCACCTCCTCCTCCTCCTCCTCCTCCTCCTCCTTCTCCTCCTCCTCCTCCTCATCATCAGCATCATCATCTCCTCCTCCTCTCCTGCTCCTCCTCCTCCTCCTCTCCTCCCCTCCTCATCATCATCATCATCATCATCATCAACATCATCAGCAGCAGCAGCAGCAGCATCAAGCAGCAGCATCATCAAGCATCATCCTTCTCCTCCTCCTCCTCCTCCTCCTCCTCCTCCTCCTCCTCCTCCTCCTCCTCCTCCTCCTCCTCCTCCTCCTCCTCCTCCTCTACATTATCTGGGTGAGCTGGCTGTGGGCCACGCTTCTGGGACATGGCCCGTCTCGGTGGGCACTGGCCTGCGCTGCGGCGGGCGCTTGGATGGCCGAAGCGCAGCGCCATGCCAACGCACCCACTGATGCCTTAGATGGAGCACCCTGAAAACGGCAGGAAACGCGTGAATGGGTGTGCCGAAATGGACGCGGCGGCGCCATGCGAACGCACCCATTGGGGCCATGGGTAGGGCTCCCTGCAGGGACAGGACACGCTTGAGGGGGTTCTAAGTTGGGCGCAGCGGCGCCATGCGAACGCACCCACTGTGGCCCTAGATGAGTTCCTTGCGGGCACGCTCCTAATAGAGTAGGGGGAGAGGAGGACGAGGACGAGGAGGAGGAGGATGAGGCGGAGGAAGAGGAGGAGAAGGGGGAGGAAAAAAAGGAGGAGGAGGAGGAAGTGAATGAGGAGAGGGAGGAGGAGGAGAGGAGGAGGAGGAGGAGGAGGAGGAGGAGGGAGGAGGAAGAGGAGGGGGAGGAGGAGGAGGAGGAGGAGGAGGAGGAAGAGAAGGGGAGGGAGGAGGAGGACGAGGAGGACGAGGAGGAAGAGAAGGACGAGGAGAACGGAAGGAGACGCGCGATGGTGCGGGTTCAAAACGAAGACCCAATAAACAGGAGCGTTGGGAAAACGATTGGTCGGTATCCCTGGGGCAACGATCTTTCGAACAAGCAAGAGTCTGTTCCGCGCTTTTGGGGTCAGCGACCCTAGCATACAACCAAGGACCCGCGTTCCGACGCCACGATCCCCCGTAATCCCACCAGCATTTTGGGCGACAGGTAGTCTAAGGAGGGTCTCTGTCCTCTTCCACAACCCCTCTTCCCTTCGGGGAGGGAAACCCTTCCCCTCCCCTCCCTGAGGTTTTTGGGGAGGGGGCCCGATGTGTCAGAGGGTCCTTTTTTCCGGCCCCCGGGAGGGCCTACTTCTGACACCCCTCACGAGGATAGTGGCCCCCGAAGGAAGGGAGCTACATCGAGGACCCCCCTCTTTTGACCGACCGCCTCCACGATGGCCCCAAGAGGCGCGCCAGGGCTCCCAAGAGGTCACCCAAAGGGCTTCAAGAGCGCCCCAATAGGCCTCAAGAGGGCTCCAAGAGGCACCCGAAAGGCACCCAAGAGGCCCCCGAGCGGCCTCAGAGAGCCCAAGATGACCTCCAAGATGGCTCAGATAGCTCAAGCTGGCTCAAGATGGCCCCCAAAATGCTCCAAACGGACCCCAGACCGCTCCATGACGGCTCGAGCTGGCTACGGAGCCTCCCAAGCCTCCATCGCTATTTGCCTATGCGTGTCTCTTCCTCTCCCCCTGTCAACTCTCGTGGGGCTGGTGAGGATACTCTTTTGATCGCAAGCGAAGCGGAAGTGCCGCACGCCGTCCAAAACTCGCAACGCACTAGAATTGCGCAAGACGGGAGGGAAAGAGAGAGAGAGAGAGAGACAACGAGAGAACAGCGGGGAGGAGACAACAGGAGGCGGGCCTTGCTGCCGCTCAGAAATGCGCCTTCGACTGGGGGTGTGAACCGCCAGCCGGTTGCAACGCCAAAATGGCGGGGGGGAATTCTGGTTTAACGACTCCACAAGAATGCCAGTGAGTAGGCACCTACCGCCGGGGGAAGCTGCTGAGCCGATGGCAGTTGCTGCAACCGCCGAGGGAAAGCAGCGCCGAGGGTGGGGACTGCAAGCTGCTGGGGCTGCCAGGAAGCTGCGGCGTGACCACCAGATACGTGAATTGGACCTTGTCGCCACAGGGCGCCAGGGGTCGGCGCGCCACAGACGTGGCGGGGAGCAAAACTGCGTGACAGTCCAGCGTGATGGCCGCGGACCGACGGGAGACACGCCTGAACGTTCAAGAAGGCTGAACCACTCCTGAGTGAACCGGCGGACCAGAATCCCATAGGGCCAGCATCACCGACAGACACGGCCAACTACTGGTGAGGATACGCGAAGCGTCAAGAATGAATTACCTTGGCGAAGGACCGAATATGCAGTCGTGAATACCTCAAGGCAGGCGAGACGAATGAAGGGGAGCTGCTGTTGGGCCAGGAGGTGTGTGAGTGGTGTGCCAGAATTCGGCGGTGCCGCCATGCGGGCGCTGGGGCTGGCGCCGTTGGTGGAGCTCCCTACGGGGCCATTCAACGAAACGTGCGAAGGGTGCGCCCACATGGGGCGGTGCAGCCATGCAGGGCGCCGCCCCTGGAGCGTGCCCCCCCCACCCCCCCGCCACCCACCCCATGGGGCAACAAACCGTGCGAGGGGTGTCCCGAAATCGGCGCGGTGCCGCCAAGCGGGCCCTGCCGCTGGGGCGTTCGGTGGAGCCCCCCACGAGGCGGAGGAGTCAGACAACCATAGAAGAAGCGGGGGATCCTCGAACTCCGCATGCTGGAACAGCGCCTGGGGCGTCAGAAGGCCTGCAAAGGGTTCTCGCTCGGACTGCCAGCAGTAGGAGTCGGAGAAGGAGAAGCGACTGCCAGCAGTCGGAGTCGGAGAAGGAGAAGCAGGAGGCACAGGAGGGGAGGAGGCGGAGGAGGAGACAGAGGCGGTGGCTGTCGAGGCGCTCCTTCCGCTGCAGCACCCCCTCGAACTTCTCGCTGCGCTCTAGGCGGGTGGTCTGCCAGCCCTCGACCCTCTTCCTCTGCGTCTCCTCGCCTGCGCGAGCGGATGGGTTCTGAATCATCTTTCTACGCCTCCTCCTCCTCCTCGTCCTCCTTCTCCTCCTGCTCCTCCTGCTCCTCCTGTTCCTCCTGCTCTTCCTGCTCTTACTGCTTGTCATGCACCTCCTCCCCCTCTTCCTCCTCACCCTCCTCCTCCTCCTCCTCCTCCTCCTCCTCCTCCTTCTCCTCCTCCTCATCATCAACGTCATCATCATCATCATCATCATCATCATCATCATCATCATCATCATCATCATCATCATCATCATCATCATCATCAGCAGCAGCAGCAGCAGCAGCATCAGTATCAGCATGATCGTCAGCATCAGCAGCATCAGCAGCCGCAGCCTCCTCCTCCTCCTCCTCATCATCATCATCATCATCATCATCATCAGCAGCATTAGCATCAGCATCATCGTCAGCATCATCATAATTGTCGTCATCATCATCAGCATCATCATCATCAGCAGCACCATCGTCATGTTCATCAGCATCATATTCATCAGAATCAGCAGCAGCTACATCGGCATCATCATCATCATCATCATCATCATCCGAATCCTCATCATCATCAACAGCATCAGCAGCATCATCATAATCACCAGCAGCATCATCAGCATCTGCAATATCGTCAGCATCAGCAGCATCAGCAGCAGCATAATCATCAGCAGCATGATCATCATCAGCATCATGATCGTCAGCATCAGCAGCTCCATCAGCATCATCATCATCATCAGCAGCAGCATCAGCATCATCAGCATCACCATGATCGTCATCATCATCAGCTCATCAGCATTATCAGCAGCATCAGCATCATCAGCAGCATTATCAGGAGCATCAGCATCATCATCACCAGCATCAGCCTCATCATCAGCATCATCATCATCATCATCAAGACCCGCATCAGCATCAGCATCGTCATCATCATCAGCAGCATCAGCATCATCCCATGCCCGAAGCACCACCACCACCGCCAGCACCACTGGCACCACCACCACCACCGTCATCGTGATCTGGATCTTCTCCACCTTCTCAAGTTCCTCCTCCTCCTCCCCGTTTTCCGCCTCTTCCTCCTCCTCCTCCTCCTCCTCCTGCTGCTGCTGTTGCTCCTCCTACTCCTCCTCCTCCTCCTCCTCCGCCTCCTCCTCCTCATTATCATCCTTCTTCTGATGTTGCTGTTCCTCCTCCTCCGCCTCCTCCTCCTCCGCATCCCCCTCCTCCTCGTCCGCCTCCTCTTCCTCCTCCTCTCCTCCTCCTCCTCCTCCTCCTCTCCTCCTCCTCCCCTCCTCCTCCTCCTCCTCCTCCTCTCCCCCTCCTCCTCCTGCTCCTCCTCTCCTGCTGCTCCGCCTCTCCTCCTCCTCCTCCTCTCTCCTCCTCCTCCTCCTCCTCCTCCTCCTCCTCCTCCTCCTCCTCCTCCTCCTCCTCCTTCCCCACCTTCTCCATAACCATCAGCAGCAGATCATCAGCATCAACAGCAGCATCATCAGCATCATCAGCAGCAGCATCATGATCATAAACAACATCAGCAGCAGAAGCTGCAGCAGCGACAGCATCAGCATCAGCATCAGCATCATCATCAGCAGCAGCATCATCAGCAGCATCATCAGCATCATCATCATCATAATCATCATCATCATCATCATCATCATCATCATCATCATCATCATCATCATCATCGTCATCATCATCATCATCATCATCATCAGCATCAGCATCAGCATCAGCATCAGCATCAGCATCAGCATCATCATCGTCATTATCCTCATCATCATCATCATCAGCATCATCAGCATCATCAACATCAACATCAACATCATCATCATCAACATCATCATCATCATCATCATCTTCATCTTCATCTTCATCTTCATCACCATCATCATCATCACAATCAACATCACCAGCATCATCATCATCATCGTCATAGACAGCAGCATCGTCATGAGCATCATTACCAGCATCAGCATCATCAGCATCAGCATCAGCATCATCATCAGCATCCTCATCAGCAGCATCAGTATCATCAACATCATCATCAGCAGCATCATCGTAAGTATCACCCCATCTTCATCACCAGCAGCATCATAGCAATCATCAGCATCAGAATCATCATCATCACCATCAACATCATGATCATCATCATCAGCATCATCGTCATCATCACCATCATCATCATCAGCAGCATCATCAGCATCAGCATCAGCATCAGCATGATCATCAGCATCATCATCCTTGGCATCCGCCTCCTGCTGCTCCTCCTCCTGTTTCTTCTCTCGCTCGTCTCCCTTGTCCACCGCCTCCTCCTCCGTCTTCTCCTCCTCCCCCTCCTCGTCCTTCTCCTCCTCCTCCGCATTGACATCCTCCCTCTCCTTCTCCGCCTCCTCTTCCGCCTCATCATCATCATCATCATCATCATCATCATCATCATCATCAGCAGCATCATCATCATCATCATCATCATCAGCATCAGCATCAGCATCATCATCAGCACCATCATCGTCATCATGATCATCCTCATCAGCATCATCAGCATCAGCATTGCCAGCATCACCAGCAACATCAGCATCAGCATCAGCATCAGCGTCATCAGCATCATCATCATCGTCATCAGCATCATCATAATCATCATGTTTTCATCATCATCATCATCACAATCATCATCAGCATCAGCATAGTAAACATCGACATCATGATCATCATCATCATCATCATCACCATCACCATCATCATCATCATCATCAGCATCATCATCATCAGCATCATCATCATCATCATCATCGTGAGCATCATCAGCAGCATCAGCATCATCGGCATTAACGTCTTCATCCGCGTCAGCATCCTCGTCACCATCATCAGCAGCAGCAGCGTCGTCAAAACAATCTTCATCAAAAGCAGCATCATCTTCGGCATACTCATCAACATCAGCATCACCATCATCAGCAACAGCATCATCATCAGCAGCCGTATCATCAACGTTGACACAATCAGCATCATCATCAGCAGCATCAGCATCATCGGCATTAACGTCTTCATCCTCATCAGCATGCTCGTCACCCTCATCAGCAGCAGCAGCGTCGTCAGAACAATCGTCATCATCAGCATCAGCATCAACATCTCCAGCATACTCATCATCAGCATCAGCATTATCATCAACCGCATCATCATCTTTGACACGAGCAGCATCATCATCATCATCATCATCGGCAGCATCAGCATCAACATCAGCGTAGGAATCCGAGTCAAAATCAAGATCAGGCTCATCATCATCCTCAGCAGCATCGGCATTACCATCATCAACACCACCATCAATATCAGCAGATCACCATAATCATCATCATCATCTAGCCAGCATCATCAGCATAATCAGCATCAGCATCGTCATCATCAGCATCGTTATCATCATCACCATCATCATGAGCATGAGCATCATCATCATCACGACCATCGCCAGCATCATCATCAACATCATCATCATCAGCATCACCATCGTCGTCGTCAAGGGCATCGTCGTCGTCGTCGTTCCGATCAGCATCGTCATCACCATCATCAACAGCATCATCGACATTATCAGCAGCATCATCTTCAGCATCATCATCATCTTGAGCACCGTCATGGACATCAGCATTATCACCACCATCATCACCATCATCATCCGCATCATAATCATCAGCATCAGCATCATCAGCATCATCGACATCACAATCGTCATCAGCATCATCAGCCTTATCCACATCAGCATCATCATCATCACCATCATCGTCAGCATCATCATCAGTCTTCTCCTCCTCGTCATCCCCCCTCCTCCTTAAGATAATTACCATCATCGTCCTAATCAGAATCCCCATCCCCACCATCAACATTATCAAAACCCTCATCCTCCCCATCCTCCTCCTCACAATCATCATCGTCATCACCATCATCATCATCAGAAGCAGCAGCGTCGTCAATATCATCGTCATCATGAGCATCATCATCAGCATCATAACCATCGTCATCTTAATGTCCATCATCATCACCATCATAATCATCATCAGCATCAGCATCATCGTCGTCAGAATCCTCAGCATCAACAATGTCATCATCAGCATCATCAGCATCGTCGTCATCAGCATCATCATCAGCATCATCATCATCCAAGTCGTCGCCGTCATCATCATCAGCAGCAGCAGCTATCATCATTACCAGCAGCAACAGCATCATCAACAACAGCATCAGCACAATCATCATCATCGTCATCATCAACAACATCAGCATCATCAGCATCATCATCAACTTCATCATCATCATCATCATCACCATCGTCAACATCACCATCCTCATCAACATCATCATCGTCATCATCAGCATCATCATCGTCGTCACCATCATCGTCATGCACATCATCATCAGCATCATGGGCATCATCCTTGTCCGTATATCATCATCTTCGTCATCATCAGAATCCTCATCATGATCGTCATCATCATCATTTTGTCCATCGTCGTTTCCATCATCATCCTCATTGCCATCCTCATCAAAATCATCATCGTTGGCATTATATAATCATCAGCATGATCGTCATTATCATCATCACCGTCACCAGCCTTATCGTCATCATCATCCTCATTATCATCCTTGTAGTCCACACCATCATCACCACCGTCAGAATCATCCTCATCGTCATCATCATCTGCATCACCATAATCATCAGAATCGTCATCATGGTCGTCGTCAGCACCGTCATCATCATCATCATCATCATCATCATCATCATCATCATCATCAAAAACATCATCATCATCATCATCATCATCATCATCATCATCATCATCATTATCAGCATCATCATCGTAATCGTCATCATTATCAGCAGCAGCATCATCAGCACCATCCTCATCAGCAACATCAGCATCATCATGTTACCTCCTCCGCGCCTTCTTTCAGCATCCAAACGGAGCGCCCGTGGGGGGGCAGTCGGGGGGCCTCCTGTTCACCCCGGGCGGACGGGGTCAGGCA